TCCACTTCCCATTTTATTGATGCAAACTCTTAAAAATCCAACTGCATTAAAAAAAAAAAAAAACAGTCAGGAAATGAAATTATGAGTAAATGGTGTTTGCTGGTTAAAATAATGGGAGGGCTTTTACAAAAATTTACCCATTGCACAGTGAAAAAGAGGTGAAAAACCTCTGGTTTGAGCAATGTTGGATAAAATCAAGGAAAAAAGGTTTCCCTGGAGTGCAGGGGTCTCGCTGCCCTCCCATGCCCAGAGCCTGGGATGGCTCTGGTGCCCAAGGAAGAGCTGAGCGGAGCCAGGGAAAACACTGAGGGCCATTTTGAGCCAACTGGGAATTTCCAAGCTCTCACATGGGGTCAAAACCTCTGGAATGTTCCTGCCCCTCTTCTGTAAGACTCTGAGAGTCCATGGGATTTAACAGCTATGACACTTCCCCCAGAGAGAGAGCAATTTTGTCTTGTCCTCTTTAAAAACTGAATTATTCTATAATTCAGTTTACAACAAAACACAAATAAATAGTGAATAAAATAATGAATTATTGAGCAGTAGTGCAAAACCCAGCCCATGAGAAAAAAACCCTAAAAAACCCAAACTCACTCCCCAAAACCCAGAAAATCCAAGTAAACAACCAGAAATGTAACTGTGATGAGTGTGGTTATGTTGCTCAGCTAAATCCCAGAGGTGTGTGTGAGTTCCTCCTACCTTGGTGCAACACCACCAGAAATCCTGGATAAATATGGGATCAGATTTATGGGGATGTACATATGTAAGGTCCAACCCTTTATCATTGAAGTATTAATTTCATTGACCCAGCAGTCAGTGAGGTTTTGATTATATAAATATGGAGATGTAGGCACTTCAAATGTGAGTGTTTGGTGACAAGGAGCTCAGAGCCATTCCAAGGGGTGGGAGATCCACAGGAACCCCTCTGGAACCTCCCTGTGGGCGTGCCAGGCTGAGTCTGAGCCTGTGCTGTATCCACCTGAGGAACTGCCACCAAATTTTCATCTCTCCTGCAGTTTCCACACTCCAGTTTGGCTTCCTGGAGGAACCTGCCTGCTCCAGCTGGAGCAATCAAGGGATTACAGGAAACCACACGTTAAATAAAATGTTCTTTTAATGATCACCCCCCAAATACCCAAAGGCACCAGTCAACACCGTGGACTAATGACCTACAAATTGGTGGGATCCTTACACATTTGTAGCATTACAATATTTTTTTCCACAGCTTCAGATGGCACATTAAGAGGAATATTTCATCTGCAACAGCTTTGTCCTGAACGCCCTTTCATGTGATTATTTAATAGAAAAAGGATCAAACCAAAACTGAGCTCGCTGCTCTCCTTTCTCCAAGTATTTCTGCAGCTCATCTTGAATCCACTCCTGTATAACTCCAAATTTATTTCCAATTTATCACTAACTCCTCTAACACCACCCAAATCACCTCACTCATCCTTCAGGCTCCAGGTAACACATGGAGAGGCAACACCTCCACTGAGGACAATTTGCATTTCTTTTATCCATTGCAAAAACCTCTGTAACGTGTCGAGTATAAAGCTCACAAAATACATTTTAAAGGAACTACCATAAAGTATTTGCTTCAAATAGACCTTTTACAACAAAACACAAAATTCAAAGGACATTTTTTTTTTTAGGAAAGCAGTTGAAACTGTAACACTTAGGTCCTGACAACATTAGATTACTTTAAGCTGTAAACCCTAAGAAGTTTTGTGATTAAATAAAATCAGCATTACAATTTCCAGGCATTATAATCATTGAACAGATTGTAACAACGAGATATAATTATAATGCAAACATGAAGCTCAGGAGACTGGCACTGATAAAACTCTCAATTCTTTGTAGATTTAGATCTGCACATGATAAAATCAGTAACAACTGGAGAAGAGGTTCCAATATTTCATCCTACACACTGATACCAGTGTTTTGCAAACAGCAGTCAATACATCATCCTCTTTTTAATATTACTTTACAGAGTCATTATGACCTTGAAGAAAAAAACCAACCCTCCAAGTCAATTACTGCTGCCAGGTATCAATAGAACATCTGGAAGGAAATAATTAAAACCATCAGGTTTTGTTAATTGCCCCTGTAGGTGCAGATACACAGGATTTTATATATGTAAGGCTAAATAAATTACATATATATGTGCTTACATATACAAAATCACAATCTCAACCTTCACAACTGAACTACCTCTAGGTAAGAAATATAAGACCTTTTCCCATAAATTTAAAGGGTTTATTTTATACCTGAGAGATTTTTGCATATTGATGTCTTCGTACCTTTGCCTCTAGGTGCTCCCCTAAGTCTTTCCTGGGGTACAAAGCCCATTGCAGCCAGGTGGGTTCTTCCCACCAGCTCCATGGACTTTGGCTGAGCCCTTCCTTACCTAACCTGGATCAACAGAGAGGTGACAGAATTCAATATATATTTAAATCATGTTCTGTACAAGTGCACAGGCTGGTTTATACAAAACCACAGCGAGTTCACCACTCCTGATACGGCCACAATATTTGATTTAAGAAGTACTTTAGTGCTTTAACCAATGCATGTTTCTACTTGTTGGTTAAAGAACTCAGTGAAGAATTTTTCTGGGTTTTGGATCACTGGCCATGCAAGACACGCTGAAAATGCTCCTTCCTGCCTGACCCATTCCCTGGTTCTTGGGAAGATCAACCCATTTTTTCACCCAGCAACCAGAGAAACCAGGACAAGAGGAGTAATAAATCAATGTGGCAACACTACATTAAGGTCACAGGTCAGTGCAGATGGACTGAGACTTTCCAACAAATCTAAAGAGATTAGGAGCCCCCTTCCTCCTGAAATTTAAGGCATTTGGATGCCTGATTCCCACGGATTCCCCAGTCCAGCTCTCAGCTCCTCATCCCTGCAGATCCCAAGCAGTAGCAGGGACATGACCCACATAAGGCTCTTACAGAATTTCACAGTGCTATTTAACATGGCAAACACCAAATTAAATGGAAAGGTTCCCTTTGTCATCCCGACAGTTCAATTAAAACAGAAATGAAAGGAATCCACCATGTCTCACTCCATTTTGTTCCTGACAGGGGGAATTCCCTAGAAGTGCTTTCATGCAAACACGGTGTTACCATAGCTGATCACAGAGCAATTAGAATTGATGGTTTTATTAATTATAGTTTAACCAACAGAAAGATCTTAGTGGAAGTGGAATAAAGTGTGCTTTCAGAAACCAAATTGGACATACCTGAAAAATCAGCAAAAGTAACAGTACTCTATTCATGAAAGACATCACAAAATGAATCAGATTCATCAGTAAACCCTTCATATGTTGTAGAAATACCAATTTTTTGCACTGTATTTTACAGAAAAAGTTGACTTTTGTGATGATGGTCTTTGAACAATTCTTTGTTCAAATGTACAGGAATATAATGGGGGAAAGGGAAGCTACATTTCACTGGCAATTGGACTTCACAGACCTTAGAAAATTTAGAAATGTTTGATTCAAAACAGCACATTTATGGACCACATTTCTCCATAAAATAAATCAAACTCTTGTGCCCAAGCAGAAGAAATTCCCAAGGCCTGACATCTGTTGTAAATGGATGCAATGCAGCCACTGCTCTGGAGCAGGAGATGAGGATGAACAGTGACAGGGACAACACAGCGACACACAAAGTTAATGTAAGAAACTCTACAGCTTGCATTTCCAGTTGGCTGTTCCCATTTTATACCCACACCCCTTCCAGACCTCCTTTTCCCGCTAGTCCTTCTTGTTCTATATTCCTTTTCCCATGTTTGGTTTTGGTGACACCACCTTAGATCCATCTGTCCCAAACCTCCTCATCCTGGAGCAAACTCTCTGCCCGTCACTGCTGCAAGCACTCTGAAACCCCAGGGCGTGTTTCCTTTTCCATGTTTCTGTTTCCATAATTTAGGAGCTCTCTGGCACCATTTCCAGCATTTCATGGAGCAACTGGCACAGGGAGGCACTTATGTGACATGTTTAAAACTTATCTTTGGTAAACACTCACACACAAACTAATGTGTAATTCATGTTTTGCTTCCTGATCGTAAATCCTTGTTTGCTACCGGTGGATTTATGCAGGTATCTAAACACAGACAGGACTTCACCAGTATAAAATAGTTTTTCAAATGCCACTGCCAAAGATTTGTTTTAATTCACCTAAAAATAGCGCCAGTCCTGGGCTTTTGGAGTTTTTTCCTGACTCTTGTTTGTTGTGCATTAAAGCAGCTCTGATCAATAACAAATTAGAAAGTGAGCCCGTTCTGCTCTATTTTCACTTCCTTTCTCCTCTTGCCTTGGTTTTCAAAACCAATTTCATCACAATAGTTGTACCTCTTACAGCTTTTGTTATCTCTGAGGCAGATCCTGGGCTCTGACACTGCCTGACTTGAGCAGCCAAATCTTTCACTGGGATCACTGGAAATTTCAGACACACAAAATGCTGAGTCTGCTCTTGGTAGGGGCATTTCCTGCTCACCAGTACAAACCAGTACTCTGGGGAGGGGAGTGACCCCGAGTGTCTGACTGACCTGAGGAACGATCAGCCACCAAGAGACGACCCATCAATGTGTGTTTTCAAAGGTGCTGCAAATAAATGTTGCTGGAACTGCATGGATAAAACCAAGGGATGATTGACTTTGACGTACCCAGAGCACTGTCCCTTCTGACATCAGGCATTTCTACAGAGAGGTATTTCACTGGCTTCAGTTTTCATTGACACCATTTAAATTTTGCTTGAGAATTATTTTTTTTTTCTAGAACCCAGAACTTAGTGCATTTCATTTTTATAAAATTAGAATAATTTATATCCTTCTCTTTTCATTGCAAAAAAATACAGCCCAAACACACACCAAGGTATAAACACTTCACGAATGACAGATGCTTCACTTATTTCACCTGCTTAATGGTGAATTAGACATTGATCAACCAAACAACTTTGGCAACTTGCACAAAAATATGTCCTTAACTCAAAAGTGCTGATAAAACTCGCTTTAATGAGGCCTTTATTAAAGAGAGAACTGGAAAGAGAGGAATGGTGAGTGCTTGGAGGTTGGAGCGTTCCTACACCATCCCGCTCTGTAGCTGTATGTGGAAAGGGTACAACTGGTAGAACACAGGGGGTTGTCCATGGGCAATGTAGTAGTTGCTGAAGTTTCTGTCACTGATATAGGGAGCAGGCTGATAGTAGCACGTGACATTGGCCGCGTTGGGGATGATGTTCTGTTCTCCGAGCACCTTTAAAGCCAGAATTGTGATCATATTGAGGGTTTGCCTTCGCTCGTGCCCCATGAGGCAGACTGTGCTCTTGTTCACCACCCCACGCAGGGTCATCAAGTAGTCGTACTTGCTCTTCTCCTCCCCGATGAAGTGGTTGCGCAGGTAGGACTCGATTTTCCTCTGCTGCTCGGCAACGTCGGGAAAATCAATGAAGAACCTGGAGCACATGTAACGTTCCAGAGATTTAATTTCAGCCTCATCTGCCGGCTTAAAGTCACGGACCAGGAGGTTGCTGTACTTCAGGAGGCCGCCTCCCCTGATCTCCTCCGGGTTCCGGGTGGAGATCAGTTTGTACTTCAGGTGGTCCATGGCTTGGTTGAAGTCCCCGTACATGCTCTCGGCGATGACGGCGGGGTGATAGTCCTGCGTCAGGGGCCGGTCCGAGGCTCTGTAGATGTCCAGGATGGAGTCCAGGATGATCTGGAAGGAGTCCACGCTGAACTCAAACTGCCGCCGCAGCGAGCTGACGAACTTCAGCTCCACGTTCTTGCCGCTGTTGTTGGACAGTGAGATGAGGCTCCAGCGGTCGTGGTCGGTGGAGACTTTGACCATCTTCTGCACGTAGGCATCTTTCATGGTCTGAGCCGTGATTTTTTGCTTGTTAACGCATTTTGGCAAGAAGTCCAATAGGCAATTGAGAACTGCTTCCTTAACGACCTGGAACTCGAGCTCACTGGGAAGTTCCACTCCAAAGATGATGTCCAGGTCCTTGTAACTGGTGCCATTGTGCTTCACCAGGATGTGACTGGCAGTGGAACCGTTCAGGCGGATGTCCCTGACATGGATCTGCTTCTCAATGAGCTGCTCCTTTACCATATGGATGATATCCTTTGGCTTTACCTCCAGGGTTGGAAAATTGCCTCTCCCATGAATAGGTATAGCCTCAGTTAAAACCTGATCCAGGATTTTAATCTGATCCCAAGTGAGATAACTGAATCTGTGGTCCAAGTCCTCAGTCATTGTGATATTGGTTGGCTAAACAGGGAGAAAGAGGAATTGGAGACAAATGTTAGAATTTTCTGGAATACCAGAGAGGACATTTTACTTGGTTATACCAAACTTCCTCCCTCCGTATAGTGACAGAGCTGTTCATTTTAGAGACACAGCCCCAGTTAACAGTCTGAGTCAACCACTGCACTTGTCACAGGCTTTTAATTGAATTTTAATGTACTCAGGTTTTAATCCTGCTGAGAAGCCATCACGTTATTGTATAACCCATGACTCAAAGTAAATGCAGCAAACCATATAGACCCAATTTAAAACTACTCAAAGGTTAATAATATGAAGTACTTGGTGGTGCTAATGGAACTCCAAATAAATTTCACTATGAAGAGATAAAATGAGCAAAATGAGCAAATTTGTTCTTTCTGTCCTGCCTAGACATCTCCCTTGATCTTCAGTGACTTGAATACTTTAAAAGTACTAAAAGGCCAGGAAGTTTTTTTGTGAGAACCAGGAATGTTGCAACCTGCTCCCTGTTTATCCAGCCATATGCCTTGGATGAACTTTGGTCTCTATGGATCATCTAAGCACACACATCCTTTAATATCACTTGTGGTTTAAGGACTGGTTATCTGATAATTGCCAAGTAATTTCCACGATGTTTCTGTGGGAAATATTTCCCTTCTAGGCCATAAGCCATGTTTTACATTAATGCATCAATGCTGCAAGTCATAGTTTGCAGATCTGGTGAGAAAACCCCTTCCAGTCTTGTGGAAAAAGGACCTCCAGAAAGAATCACCTATAGAATACATGGGATGAAGCTCAGCTTTGGGAATTTCTCAGTTTAAAATGATACCTTGAATTCACATGGCATCACATTTAACAGGGAGATGAGACACTCAGGTGGTGGCCAGGTGGCATCTGAGCGGGCTCAGTGAGGCACGAGCCGGGTGGAAGAAGTGCCTTTGGGAGTCTGCCAGCACCCAGAACCTGCTTCCGAAACACCCCCGAGTGTTTCTGCAGCCAGATAGCTCAAACATATTCTTTCAGCCACAGCTCAAGAATAAAAATATAGTAAAATCAGACTAAGTAACAACCCTACTGAGAAGTCCCCACTGTTGTTTCTTAACCAGTGGTGACTCCATATGAACATTGTCATACATTCCCCTTCCTTCACCTTCAGATTCCACATTCTGGAATATTTTAGTAATTTCAAGTAACTTGTGAGCTGCCAAATGGCTTGGGAATATGGCAGAGCTCTATTTCACATACTTCTGCTGGAATTTCAGCTCCCATTAAGTTGATCAGGAGCATATGTAATTCCAAGCACCTTCCTGGCCTCATGACAAAGAATGGGACTAACCAGATGTTTGAAGTTGAAGGAATGTTTTAAAAGTTGGCTAAAGCAGGACTGAAGTTGGGAATTTAATTGACCGTGTGAAGGTCTTGGAATCAGTCCCATAGGTCTGGCACAACCATGTAGCTCCTGGCATTGTGCACATAGTGTATAATTCGACACCTATAACAGGTATGTTTACAGGTGTATTCAAAAATATCCACATTTTTCCTGCAGGCATTTAGAGGATACAACATTTGAACTGAAAAGGAGAGAAACTGCCCTTCACAGCACTGCCAATTTTACATGCTAATGATTTCACCATTGAATATTCATTAGAATTCCATGCTTATTCCTTTAAAACTATAGCTGTGCATCCTTCAGAGCCATTATGACAACTCAGTAAAAGTCTGTCTAAAAACCAGCTTTTACAGAGAGCTACTGTTAATTCTGGAAGTGGGACAACCTTGGATGGAGGCAGGTTGGAAGGAGAAGGTTTTGTTCAAATGTTTTATGCTGCCATGTTGTTACCTAAGTCATCCATAGAATAGCAGAATTAAGGTTGCAAAAGACTTCCAAGATCATCAAGTCCAGTTTTTTGTATGTCAGATTATGGTGGAGCAGCCCAAATGAAACCCTAGCAAACTTAAAATTGTCAGAATTGTTGTCTAAGCAGCAGTTTTTATTACAACATTTGTTTGATATTGCAAAACCTTGACCTTTCTGAGGCTGATGCTGTGATGTAAAAAAAAAAAAGGGAGTAGAGAGGGGAATGTTGAAATTCACCCCCCTTTTAGCAGAGGGACCCTCTTCAAACACTGGAAAAGTCAGAAGATGGACATATCCGTAAATAAGCTTAGAGATCCTTCCTTTATTGCTACATGTTTTTAGGTATTTCAGATGTTATTGCAATATACTGAGGTTTGAAACTGAAAGGAGAAGGTAATGTCAGTAAATCTCTCTTTTGTGTTGAAGAGGCATCCCTCAAAATGCCATTCTTTCTGAAGTGATTCCTGGAGAATCTGAGGAGGCTTTGGGAGCTCAGAGTCTCACCATTAATGTTTTACGATAAATATTAAAGAATTCTGTGCTAAAATACACCTTCAACTCTGACAAGTGAGAAAAGTGTACTAGGAAAAAACCCAGGAATTCAGTTTTCCAAATTATTAAAAAAAAAAATTAATTTGCAGGTAAGCCTAAATAAATATTATTAGTAGGAGTATTTTTATTATTTACAAATTTGCTACCAGTTTGCAATCCAATACTTTAACCCTGCACTCTCCTAGAAGGATTTTATCTTTTTGTTTCCTTCAATCACATCTGGCAAAAAGAACAATTTCCAGGCAATTTTATAGTCATTAGAAGCCTGATTTCTCAAAGCAGGGGCAAATTTACTTACTGAGGTGCCCAGGATAATGCCAGGAGTTATTATTAATGTAATTAACCTCAATTCCAATACATCATCAGCAACACTGAGGTTGTAATTAGTCAAAGTGTTGTGTAAAACAAGAGCTCCTGGGATGAAGGGAAGGAAACTCCCTGCACGTGACCACAGCACCTGGATGAAGCCAAGCACAAGTGAGTACTGAGCTGGTTAATTAGAAAAGGGGCTGGAAAATCACTTTATTCCTTGGAAACTGCTGTTGTATGCAATGGAAGGTGATCACTTTACAGGGGAAGAGAGTAATAGGACAGGGGAATGGTTTCAAAGCAAAAGGAGGGAGGTTTGGATTAAATTAGACCGAAATTCTGAGGTCCTGGCACAGATTCCAGAGAAGCTGGGGCTGTCCTTGGATCCCTGGAAATGTCCAAGGCCAGGCTGGACAGGGCTTGCAGCACTCTGGGACAGTAGAAGTGGAACTGCAAGCAGATGATCTTTAAAGTCCCTTCTAACCAAACCATCTCAGGATTCTCTAATCCCTGGATGCAGGTCCCTCACTGGCACCCCCAATCCCAGCTGTCCCTAAGGCTTCCCTGCAGCATTCTGCCAGAGACTTCCCTTTGTGAAACTCCTTCCACACAAATACCCCAAAGCATCTCACACGTTCCACATTCAGGGTTTTCGTGTCCTAAAATCTGCACATGGGCAAATGGAAGCTGCACAAACATCACCACCACGGCAATGAAATTCAAAAGAAGGTGTTTTTCCCCACACTTCATCAATATTTTAATTTACTGAGATTCTCTCCTAGCAATTTTTCTGAAGATTTTTTGTTTATGGGATTTTAAATGTTACCATAAACTGCAGCAGACCCTGAATCCCATCTCATTTAAGATCTCTGCCAGAAAAAAAGGATGAGGAAAAGCAGTTTTCAGGGTGTGTTCTTTTACATACATCAGCTAGAGAAGAACAGAATAAGATGGATCAGATTCAGTCAAGTTTTGTGATATATCATCCTTATTATAAGGTTAGAAAAATATTTCCCTGACTCAACTTCCAACTTGTCCTTGAGTGGTCACCTTCACCTGATAAAGCAGTTACAATGTGGAAAAATGTTTGGATACTTAACCATCATATTGTTAAGTTTTATCATTTGTTTTCCTATTCAAATTAGAGGCTCTAATTTTCTTTTTGGAGCAAGCAGCTCTGAGTTTGGGCTTATAATGATGCTAAAATGTTTCATTAAACACCTCTTAGCACTCCACTGTGCATGAGCATGAGCCTCATCAAAAAAACCCAAGCAGATCGGGCTTTACATCTGAATGAAGCAAATCTGTCATTCTAATGACAGCTTTCATGCTCCCCACAACTTTCATAGAAACAGATACTTGCAGTCTAGAGAACAGTCTCATCAAATTTAGCTCATATTTTACTGATAAACTGTTTAGATTCTCTTTTTATATATTCCATAATGTTGATTCAGTGTGTTTTCAAAGGGTTTGCCATGTGCTGGCATTTTCAGGCAGGATACAGCTGAAATAGTTTTTGTGCAGCTGTGGCAGCTCCATCCTCTTCCCTTTGCTTCTATTTCTCCCATGTTTTTCTGTTTACAATAAAGGTTGGGAATACTTAAATGCTCCAATTCTTTTTACTTTGAACTTGAAATGGTTGTGCAGGGACCTTTCACAGATCACAGAACTCCAGAATGAGTGAGGTTGGAAAAGCCCTCCAAGATCATCCAGTCCCACCAGTGCCTGATCCCCACCTTGTCACCAGCCCAGAGCTCTGAGTGGCACCTCCAGTCCTTCCTTGGACACCTCCAGGAATGGGGACTCCAAAACTCCCTGGGCAGCCCCTTCCAATGCCTGGCCACACTTTCCAAGGAGAAATTCCTGCTGCTGTCCAACCTGAGCCTCCCCTGGCATGCCTTGAGGCTGTTTCCCCTCATCCTGTCCCCTGTTCCCTGGGAGAAGAGGCTAAAAAAGAGATGTAGCAAAATATTTTGGGAGCTGCTGTGGCAGCCTTGTTTTGGGGGATTGCTCCAGAAACCCCCACAGAAATTCAGCCATTCCTTTTACCTCTGCACTGGCTTTCCTGCTTACACATTATAAACATCACTATGAATGTCCATGACCTCCTGCTAAAGATTTATTTCAACTCAAAGATCCATTTCTCTACTAAGCTGGACATTAGGAAGTATTTTGCTCACTTACTTCAGAACTGCAGCTGGCATAATCTCCAAAGGCAGGAATATCAAATGTGGAGGGACTTCCAGTCATAATTTAAACCCAGACGAGACAAGGAGAAGCAGTAAAGCATCTGGGAAACCTAAATGGGGACATATTTAAACTGATTTGACAGTGCTTTCCATGAGTTTTTCCTTCCATTAATGTTAATGCAGGCGGTGAAGGTGTTTATTTATCCTGTTATCAGGAGATAATGCATGAATTGCCATCAGTTTTCAGTCCAGTTCCCACTGAGTTTCCCTGGGATAACAAATGTTAGCTCAGCTCTTCCTTGGCAGATAAGGCTGCAAGGTGGGCAAATGCACTGCAAAGCTGTGGGCTTGGGCTATGCCACAGAATGGCACCTTAGAGGGCACAAAAAGCAAACACAGGATGAGACTTGATCCTCAAAAACGTGTCCTACTTTTTCCACCAACAGAAGGAACATGGATAATGCCTTTAAGGCAAAGAGGGCAGGGTTAGATGGGATGCTGGGAAGAAATTCTTTCCTTTAAGGGTGGGGAGGCCCTGGCACAGGGTGCCCAGAGAAGCTGTGCCTGCCCCTGAATTCTTGGAAGTGTCCAAGGCCAGGTTGAACAGGGCTTGGTGCATCCCAGACTAGGATGGTTCCATGCCCATGGAATAAGATGGGATGTAAGGTTCCTTCCAAACCATCCTGGGATTCTGTTTCTACTGGAATATTACAGGATATTGGCTCAATGAGCTGGGAGTTCTTAGGAGGCACAAAATGAGGAGTTTAACTTGGGCACTCAATATGAAATCATTATCCATATTCTGTCATGCTGGATATTTGGGTTTTTTTGGAAGTCCCATTTTTCCATCATGACTCATGGTAGACTCATTCTTAGCCAGATGGGGATCCCCTCACAGGACAACTTTTTCAAGGGCCTATTTATCGTGACTTGATATCAGTTCCCACAACACATGAGGCTCCATCTCACAGGGCCTCCAGTCCAATCCAACCAAGCCCTTTAAAAAACGTGAGGCCAGCAGTATCTCAATCTAAAATACTTCAATAACTTTTAAAAAATAGCTGCCATATGCAATATTTGGTCTGTTTGTGGCTATGGTCATCCCTGGGAAGTTTCTGCTTTAGGAAAATCTTATTTGTACTACCAAACACATACTTGTGGACTAAATCCTGAATAATATTCCCAACAAGAATGAAAAATTCCACAGACTCACCGTGGCAGGATGACTGGGAGCGTGTATTCCAGCAGAGTTAATAGGATGAGTCACTGGATCATTTGGTAGAAATATGAATTGTCATCTTGTCACTGACAGAAACACAAAGCTCCCCGGGAAAGCTGCAGGAAATAAAACCCAACAAACAATCACATTCATTTGGAGATCAATGTTAACCACCAGTCACCTGCTGGACATAATAAATGATGCATTATAGCCTGGCAGTCCTGCAGGTAACAACAGACTTTGAAGTTGGGAATGGTAAGGGAAAAGTAGTGGGAAAAGCACCAAAGGGTTTATAAAGACTCTGGGTTTCAGGTCATGCTTAATCCTCTGCAAGGATATTAACAAACCTGCCATTTTCCCTATGGGATTTTGAGTGGGAATTTATTATTATTAATAGACATGCAAATTAGCAGGGATAGAGTAGAATAATATAGAATTTAGAATGAATAATAATTCAGCAAGATGAAGTATTATGAATTGTGTAGTGGCTTTAGATTCTTTCTATCAGAGTGTGCAGCTGACAGGAAGGTCTTGTTTCCTGGCACATGAGGCTATTGGTTCATTTTGAGTAAGCCCAGGATCCTGTTGCTGGAATTTCCATGTTCATGCCAGGTGCTAGAATGAAATATTTCTGTAAATATTCACCTGCTATCATAAAGGCACTTCCTTATATTTGCCTCTCATTTCAAACACGTGCTGACAGTCAGTATTCTCAGGCTTTCCTTGCAAGACCTCCCATTCCAGCACCCATCCTGCAAAGCTCACAACACCCACTCAAGTTCCCTGACTATCCAAGCAGGGACTGTCCACTCTATGGTTTGATATTCACAGGAATTTACTCTTTCTTGAGTTGTGTTCCACAATCGTAGCTTTTATGCTCAAATTACATATGGTTCTCACTAAAGGTAATATTTAAAGTATGATTTAAGGGTAAATATCTGCATAACCTGCAGGGAAAGCTGAAATTATAGCCCGAGGAGGTATTGACTGTGTTATTCCTTTATTAGGAATATAATGGATTTTTCCTCCCTGCTACAGCAGGCAGATTTTTATCCCTGAAAATGTCATTTTAGTGCTGCCAGAAGCACAGCACTTGCTTTGCTCACCCTGTGAGGACCTGTCTGTTGTGCCAGGGCCTGTCTGCAGCTTTCATTTCCTTTCCAACTCCTGATGGGCAACTAATTATCTGCATGCGTGTTCCTGACCTGCTCCCAAATCCGTGCACCGACGGCTCACGTTGGCAGCTGGAATAAAGGGTTAAATCTGGCAAGGGCTGAGCTCTGCTCTGAGCCTGGCAGTGAGCAGCAAGTTAGGCCTTGATGGCAAAGGGAAGAGTTCTGGGCTGCTTAGATAAAAGGATCTCAGCATGTGGAGTCTGGAAAAGTCAGACAAATCAGTCACTTTGCCAAAAAAAAATTAAAAAAAAAATAAAAACTTCTTTTTAACACTGAAATATTGTTATTTCTTTCTGTTCAAGGATGGAAGGTTTAATGGATATATGATATCCATTAATGGATATATCACTGTGATAGAACAGATTAACACTGAAGCAGAATTTATGGCTTCCCCTGATGATTTTTAGGGGAAGAAGAGAGGCACCTTTATAGCATTTTTTTTTTTTTTTTGTAGAAGAAGAGGCATTATTATATAATATGTTCATAGAAGCAGCAGCTGAATTGATGAGCTGCTTTGCCTACTGGGACATTATTCCCAACAACTGCCTTTTATTGGCTCAGTCACCACAGGAAAAAGCATCATTTCCTTACTCTACGCTCAGGGTTCCCAGGATTTTTTTCAGCTGAAGGAAAAACGAAAATAAAATTGATGATGTCAACAATTCCCCTGCGTTTTAAAGAGACTATTTCCCTGTGCCTGAATCTGGGATGTGAATTATGGCAACATGCACCAACAAAACCATTCCTAAGCCTTTTTTCTCCTGGTGTGTCTGTGCCTAAGGAGCACAGGACTATCCTGAGATCCAGCAGGGACTGGGAGATGACTGGGCTCTGTGCCTTGGATTCCCCTCTGTGCCACAATTTCCCAGCTGAGCTGGGACTCCTTTGGGCACCCCCAGTCCCACGTCCCACCCTAAGGAATATGGACTCTCAAATCTTCCAGGTGGACCTCAAATCTTTGGTAGATGTGGAGGTTGCTCAGACATCTCATGAGCTCTCCCTCACCTCTCAGGAGGTGACGCCTCCTGAACTGGCAGGAGCAAGAGCCAAGGGTCCCAGAGATTCCTTCCTCTCCCTGTGTGCTGCAGCCTCCCCTGACTGCTCTGCTCAGCTCCTCAGACTAATCCCAAAATCTATTTACTCACTCGAGATCCCAGTGACTCAATCCAAAGCTCACTAATCAAAAACTCTCATTATTATGACTAAACTGCAGCAAAAGCAGGCAAGGTAAAAACTGAAACAATCCTCCTTTTCCATCTATTAACCATCTTCATAATCATCTCTCCTCTTCAAATGCCAGAGGAAGAGGGATGAACGATGCCAGGTGCCACTGCAACCCTAAAGCTGAGCTGCTTTCAGGTAAAAAGGGCATTACAAAGTCAAGGCTCTCCTCAGGAACTCTCCAGAACCATCTTCCCCTCATCTACACCGAAGGACAACTATCAAATATTCCCACGGTCACTAACCCATGAAAGGATCCTCCAGGATCACATTTCTGTCCCTCATTTTTTGAGAGGATTCCAACACAACCACATCCACTGAATAGATTTCTCTTTTTTGACTGATCACACCCCAAAACCTCTTGCTGGAAGCTGCATTTAGTTCCTTCAGTCAATGCAGTGTGGGGGGTTCCCCTCTAAACCAGTACTGAGCCACTGGGGTATCGAGGGTGAGTTTTGATGGTTCACCCTGAGTGGATTTGGAGCTTTCCTTGGGAGGAGCCTAAAAGATGAAAGAAATGCACCCTGAAAGCCTCTCTACCTCAACCCTGCTCTGCTCAGGTTACGAAAGTGTTTCTGTAGAGCAATTATTCTGTTCCACTCCAGGAGTATTTTCATTTCATGGCAGAAGCTGTGAGCTCCAGGCCCAGGCTCCAGGCTGATTTGTGAAGCACTTTAGGATCCCTCCAAATAAAGATCCCTCCAAATAAATCCCTCCAACCCCTCCCCTCTTCCCTATTCCTACAGCAAGAGCAGAGTTTTAATTCAATTGGGAAAACTTCTGTGTGCTGGAGCACGCTGGGCTGGCACCTCCACAGGACTGTGTCTCACAGGCTACTCAAAGATTACTGTGTCTTCCATTATTTAATTATGTTTCTATTTGTGTTTACGAAGTTCATATAGAATTCATACTTTTATGAATTAATTTCCATACTTGTATGAGAAAGTTACTCTCTGAATACAAAACACAGCAGTGGGATTTCATTTTAATGCCATTTTCCCAATTTTACGAGTAACACTGTAAAAATAGGGGGAAAGAAATGAATTATTCATTATCTTCAAAGTATTTGCTGCACAGGAGTTTATGTTTAATTTTGCATCAGTAACAGCCAAGATTTCCATAGAAAATAGTTTTTTGATAAGTGAAATGTTTTCTAGAATTTGCAATAGAAAAATCTGCAAACTACAACAGGAAAAAGGATTCTGGCTGCAGCAGCAGAGCAGGGAACTGCTCCTCTTTTGTGGCGAAGGCAGCACGAAATCTCTGTTGACATTATTACTAAAAGGCAGAGAGGAGATAAAGTGATGATTAAACCCAAGGAAAAGGCCCAGGCCCTGCAGCACAGCTGTGCATTCGTGACTTTTCCATCACTATCAATAATTCATAATGACCATCATGCACCTGACAACACCAAGTTGGGGAGAAAGACTGAGTCAAGCTTTCACCAAATGTGCAAAAACATTCAACCTGACATCGGATGTCAGGGCAACAGGACCTGCTGGATAAGCAAAGATCCAGCAGAAAGGGTAATGGAGAAGAAAATCAGCTGATGTGGACATAAATCAACATCTGCTGTACCCGTTTGTGGCATTTTATGGAGGAAAACTCTCCTTTTGGTGGTACACACTGAAAGAAAGTTTTAGAGCTTCTAAAATAAGTTTTTCTAGAAAAGAACTGAAATGATGGTTTACCTGTGAGCAATTCTGCAACATGAAGGAATCATGCTCAATGTTATGCTCAAGTTTTGCAGCTGGATTCTCCTTTGCTGTACCACACTAACTCAGCATGGCCATAGGCAATGGCACATTGCTGATTCCCTGGGGCATCTTAGAGTCTCTGCTGATGCTTTGAAAAATTATTTTTGCATGAAGATCATGGTGGCAAAGGCAAAAAGCCAGACTGCAATTCCCAAAATCTTTATATTTTATAGTGTTTGAATCCAAATGGCATAAACTCATAGAATCCTGAGAAAGGAATTGACTGAATAACAATTCAATTCAGCAGGAATTGCTCTGGTGTAAATGGGAGCAGAATTGGCCTCGCTGTTCGTGGCTGAACATCTGAGTTCTGCAATACAAACTCTGGGCTGGCTTCCACTCTCCATGGACCATCCCTCACTCCATGTTACCCATCCTTTCATGGTGAAATTTGACTTGGAATTTGCCTCCAAATCCTCTGACTGTTCATTGACTTTCATCCATTAAAACCACTGGGTTAAACACAGACACATAAGAGACATATGATATGGAAGACATAACTACGTATTAAATCCATAAAAAAGGTCTATCCCCATATGCAGAGACCATCATGTTACTGAGAACTCAACAAACACTGTCAACAACCTCAGGAGGACCCACCAAGGGCTTTTCAACACAAATGAGAGAGGAAAAACAAAGCAAAACGTAGCAAAATTTCCCCCCTGCTGTGGCCAAGCATGGGTGGCACAGCCCAAATCCCTCCTGCAGTCTGATCATCAAGGCCCAGAACCACGAAACCACTCTGAATTAGGAGTGTTTTGAAACATGGGTAGAATTTAATTCCTTCAAGCACTGTTAATTAATGAATTAATTTACACTGCCAGCCTAAATGCTGCTTAATTGACTCTCCAAAATTACTCAGTCTCAATGTGGTCTTTCAAGAAACTTGGTCTACTTCTGTCTCCCTGATTTAAGGTCGATTCATAAATTATGGGACTCTACTGTGTCTGCAGTTACTCCTGATCTTGAGCAGGAGCTCAAACTCTGATCTGCAGGGCAGGAATTTAGGGTCAGGCTTTTTGCTCACAAGGGTCAACGTGTCTCTGTGTGGCAGCTGAATCATTCCAGAGCACACAGTCCTTACAACAGCCCTGTGTGTCTGTGTGTGCTTAATGAGGCAACAAAACTAAATTTACTGTAAAGTTGTGCCTGGGATGCACAACGGGGCAGGGAGGGTGTGGAGGCAGCACTGCCTTGAGGTCAAAGGTCTGCAGCACTGCAAATTACAGGAATTATTGGTGCTCCCTTTGACCTAAGCTGTGGCAATGCCAGAGGGATAAGACATAAGGAACAGAAGGTATAATGCAGACAGCTATTCTGCCTCCACACATCAAGCCCATATTCCCAAGTACTGGATGCTGCAGGCACAGCACATAGAGGATGAAAGGGCACAGCGATTGTTTTTAACATTTCTGAATGGGACGGACACATCACATCTGCCTCTAGAGCTTAAGGAGAAGTCAGGAGCGTGAAGCATGGGAGAGTCCCTGCTCTGAAGTCACTGTCATTCATTATTCATCCCTCGGCCTTTAGCGGAGAATTCGGCACATCCCCATTCATTCCCACCTGGCTGCTTTTCATGGGAGCCACGAACAGGCTGTTACTCTCAAGGCAGCACACGGAACACAACGTGTGAGCCTGCAGAGCCCAGCCTCCTCTTTCCGAGGGAACAATTAACGCTATTACAGATTTGCAGTGGCTTAAAGATGTGTCAGAGATGCCTGTGGGAGAAAGCAGGGAGCACACGAGAGGGATTCCTGGCTGGGAAGACACAGAATTCCAGCCCCGAGTTGCTGGAAAGCAGTTTTGCTTTGCATGCAGGCACTTCCGAATAGTTCAGGGCACAGAATCGCAGTTTGCTGTCACTGTCACATCACTGTCACTGTCACCTCCAGGCTGTGACCTCCCCCAAAACACGGATGGTCCTTGCACAATACACAGAAAAGGCCTCAGCTACCAGGGCTGTCATCATCTCAGTGGGATGACAGAGCTTCCAACAGCGAGTAAGGCATGCCACGCTGCTACTACCGCTACTATGAATGTGGCGAGGCAGGGCTTGCCCAAAGCCAGGGAGCTTTTTTGGGATTCAGGCAAAGCAACGCCCGTAGTGGGATGGAGCTCACGTGCAGCCACACACTCACAGCCCCCTCCAGCACCGCCGCGCCGCCAAGCCGCCCTTTTTACAAGTTCACCCCTAAAGTTTCGAAGGAAAACGCCTTACGGAGAGAGAAGGAAAAGGCCCGAGCCCAGCCGAGCGCTCCGCGTTTCTCCAAGTTTTTTAACCGAGCCCAACCGCTCCCGCAACGGCCCCGCCCGGCCCAACCCCGCGGGCACCCGCGACCCGCCGGCCCTGCGGGCTGGGCACAGCACCCGCCGTGCGGGGACACCCATCCCCGGGCGGGGACATGCACCCATCCCCGGGCGGGGACACCCATCCCCGGGCGGGGACATGCACTCACCGAGCGGGGACATGCACTCACCGGGCGGCTGCGGGGGACACTCAGTCACCGCGCGGGACTCACGCAGCGAGCGGGACCCTCCCTCACCGCGTGGGGCCACTCCGGGTGCGGGCGCAGGGGACGCTCCGTGCGGCTCCGCGGGACGGTGCCCGCGCCGCTCCAGCCGGGGCCGCCGCTGTCCGCGGCCGCGCCGGTGCTGAAGGGGCCGCCCCGCCCCGCCCCGCGCCCGCCCCCGCCCGCCCCCGCGGAGCGCAGCGCCATGGCCGCCATGGCAACGCCGTGAGGGGCCGCGCCCGCCGCAGCGCCGTGAGGGGCCCGCCGCCACCCCGCCATCCCGCCACCCCGGCGGCTGTGTCACACCCAGCACCCCCGGTACCCCCGGGAGCTCTGCCACTCTGTCACACCCGGCACCCCCGGGAGCTCTGCCACTCTGTCACACCCGGCACCCCCGGCACCCCCGGAGGCTCCGCACACCGGCCCCGCGGCCGTGCTGTGCCCCGCGGTGACATGGAGAGGACGCGTGGCCACCATGGCCTCGTCCAGCCTCCCCGCCACACGCCTGCCGGTGGAGGGCACGGAGCCGTGGAATCAAAGAAGCATAAAATCCGGGAATTGTTTGGGTTGGAAAAGCTCGCTAAAGCCACCGAGAGATCTCGGCGCCAAGCCCACCGCTAATCCGTGTACCCAAGTGCCACATCTGCGTGGCTGCCAAATGACTCCAGGGATGGGGACTGAGGTCCAGGAGCACTTGGACAACGTTCTTAGGGTTGGATTGTTGGGATGTCTGTGCAGGGCTGGGAGTGGGACTTGATGATCTTGATGGGTTCCTTCCAAGTCAGCGTATTCCATGGTTCTGTGATTCCACCACCGCCCTAGGCAGTCCAATCCAATGCTTTAAGAAAGCTTTCCATAAAGAAATTTTCCCTAATATCCAACCTGACTCTCCATGGTGCAACATGAGGGCCTGTCAGCCCATGGAAAAAAGGTCCCACTGACTTGGTGGCAAACATTTTTATCCTGGTGATCCAGTTCCCAGATCACTAAACCCAAGAAAAGTCATTAAAACTTACTTAGTTTTGAGGTCCTTCCTGCACAAATGGTCTGTGGGTTTGGCCTCTCAGTATTTCATAAAATCCTGGAATGGTTTGGGTTGGAAGGGACCTTAAAGAGCATCGTTCTACCATGCCATGGGCAGGGACATCTTCCACTATCCCAGGGTGCTCCAAGCCCTGTCCAACCTGGCCTGGGACACTGCCAGGGATCCCAGGGGCAGCCACAGCTGCTCTGGGCAAGACACCTGCACAGGATGTAGTTGCCAAGGAAATCTAAGGAAACCTACGTTTCAGACGTGCAAATAGAAGGATTAAGATGATTGAGGAGAAATCAGTGATGTGAGCACCAACACCTTCACTTTGGCCACTCAGTCCTCCAAATTGTGCCTCACCTGCAGCTCTGCTCTTCCAGGAGTAGAAAATGCTTGGCTGCTGTGTGATCCTCAGCTCTGGAACCAGGATCTCCTCCAGCGTGGCTCTGCTTGGAGATGGTCCCACTGTAAATATTCTGTATGCTCCTCCCTGTAGAAGGCATGATGTCACAGACTCAGTTCTGGCTCTAAACACCCAATTTAAAATCCAAGCTTTTCAACGTGAGCTTCTAAAATTTATTATCTTTGATCAATTACTTCACTGGATGGATGGGCTAAAACCTGGCATGGGATGAGGTTATGGCATTTGTGCCATTTTTAGTAATTTCCATTGCACTGTGACACCAAATACCTTTGATGTTGTACAATGTTTTAAGTTTGCTCAGACACAGACCTAAAATGATAGATAATTTACTTAACTGTTCTGAGAAAATATGCCAAATGGGTAAGCCATGATTAGTTTTGAAAAAAAGTGCAGGTTTAGTACTACAGTGACTCATAAAAATGAGCAAAAAAAAAAGGTCATGAAAGTATTTTAAACTGCATTTTATCATAGGGAAATATAAAATTACCTGAAATAGCTGTGTCTATACTTGACCTTCCAGCACCCCGATACTTGTAGGCTGGCTCCTGGGTATTACACCAAAGCAGGATTTTAACCTTTTCTCCTAAAAGAATCCACAGCAAGGAAATACAACCCTTGTTGAACATAAACGTCCCCAGACCAGCTGTTATTCTTTAGGGCCCTTAAAGACATCTTTCCTCTTGGGAATAGTTTTATGATGGAGCAATTGCAGCTACTGCAAAGCACTTCACAATTAAAGAATCCCACTCTGGAGAAAACTTCATTTTATGTCATAAAGTTAGTTTATAATACTTTATATGCCCAGCTCTGAAAAGCATTTATATTTAAATTACTTTATATTACTGTACTATTTTAAAATTTTATTTTCTTTGTTTATTATTATTACATTAATTTATATTCCTAGTTCACAAATTAAGGAAAAGAGGCGAGGAATCATTTGAAAATCACAAATTCCAAACACAAACCAAATCTCAGCCCCAGAAAGTTTCTTTTCCAGTTGCCTGGTTCCTGGGCCACCAGAGCCAAGCTGGAAGGAGCCCAGAGGCCCTGGACAGGCAGCATTTCTGGAGAGAGGAATGGGATAGGAGAGCATCCTAACTCTTAGCCTGTGCCAGGATGAAGCCCATGGCTTGCCCAGCCATTGTATGTAGCTATTGAGTGATTAATTTGGCAAATTAATTAGTTAATGGTCCTCCTGCACTAAGGAAAAGATACATATCTTTATTTTTTTCCCACTTTTTATCACTAGGAAGTTGCAGCACCACTGCAAGGCTGGGCAAGGGAACAGTGTTCAGTACACTGAGAAAAGTTCATGTTCAATAGGCAATGAACCCAATTTAATGTCAGGCAGGGAGAGATGGATCCTCTTGGAATTGTGCCTTTACCTCCTTGCACATTTTCAGGGAGACAGATGTAAAAATGTGCCATGGTGATGTCACGATGCTGCTGGGACTGGCCACAGGCAGGCAGGTCAGGAGTGCCACCACAGGGCTGGCAGCACCACATTTTCCAAGGGGAAAAGTGGCAGGGACTGGGTGAAGGACAAGGACATCTCTCTGATGACATCTCAGGGCCACTGAGGTTGCTGGGACTCCTGCTCCTGAGTTCAGTAAAGCTGGGATTTCACCCAGCTCCTTTGGAAATGCGGATTTTAAAGGCCACCCCTGAGGCCAGGTCTCCTGTGCTGATGTACAAGAAACAATCCCTAAACCTGGACTCTTGCTGCCTCCTCTTGCTTTGGCCCTAATTCCAGAAAACACTTAATATATCTGTAAATACATTTCCCACTGGCAAACTCTTGAGCAAACACCTCATTTAAAGATTTGCTTATCTCTAATTCCTTGGTGAAGAAGTAAGGTATTACTCCAAAGGAGTAAAAAGGGATAATCAAGCTGTAAATCCTCACAGTTTCTATCATTTATAACCAGAGCTTAGTCATCTTTTGACCAGTGACGCACAGCGCTGATTTCTTGCTGAATAAAATTGTAGAAGCACAGCCAGTTTTTCACAGAGCTTGGAACTGTGCCCTTCATGGGGTTTTATGAATGCAGAGCTCAAGGTCCATAGTATGCCATGGATAACCTAATGCAAGGTCATGTTTTGCTGGAATAACAGAGCCTAAATCCTCCACAGCAACGATGGGGTCCAGCCCTACCTGGAGATTTTATCAAATTTCACAGGGATTTGGCTGTGCAGAACAAGTTCAAACTGTGAGAGCAATAAAGGCAGTTGTAAAACGCTGAAGATTGGAACTGTAAAGGTCAAAGCCTGATCTGCACTCCCCCAATTCTCACATGTATTTAGATCTGAGATACCCTGTGCATTTAGCTCGGTGCTCTGCAGTTCAGCAAGGTGGAAGAAAATCATCTTTACCATTGGAAAATTCCATCACAAGGCTATGTTTTCCTTCTAAAACTTCAGAATTTCATGTCATGAATGATGCATATTCTGTCTCAAAGGAAATCATCCCAGAAGAAACATTCCCCATGGCCTTAACTTTATGCAGAGGCTGCTGGACCAGCATGGGAGTGTGTAATAGTGCTTTTCCCAGGTGAACTGGACATTCACTTCTGCACACACATACACACACAAAGACAACAGAACCATAAGAAATCTTTCTTTTCAGCCTGGCAGAGTGAAGCCAGATTGCACACAGGACTCTCAGAGCACTGTAAGCTCTTTCCTCTCATCCCCAAGCACCTTGGATTGAGCACTTGGCCAGGATTCAGAAGGAACTTATATTCAATTTAGTAGCCACTGAGTGGAAGTACTGAGAGCTCCTTGCTGTGCAAATTTCTCTTAAGAAAGTCCAAGAAGTCCATTGAGGTCAGGGGTTTTATAGGTCCTGCTCCCTTTTATGGAATTTTACTCTTAAATGTGAAGCGACTTGTTAATTTTTAATTGCCTAAACCCAGAAATGGAGAATATTTTGATTCATCCAAAGAAGCTCTCTGAAGGCCATCAATGCTCAGAATGAAAATTAAAACAATCAACCCCCTGAGATTAGTCAGAATTAGCTCTTTTCCTGTACTGGTCTGTATGAAATAATTCCTTGACCTTTGACCAGGGAGAAAAAAGTTTAAAAGCACAAAATAAGCTATAAAAATGGCCATTAAAAATTTCCTCAGGAAATCTATTTAAATGCTGATGTCATTTTCTCCAGTCATCACTTCAGTTTTACTCTGTGTTAAACCAGAAAGGCACCATCAGAGTCACAAGGAGGGCAAGGTTTGGCCAGGCAACAGCAGGAACATGGAAGAAACATCCACGGGGGAATGCACATGCAAGGGTTGCCAGGAAGACCCTGCTCCAAGATGAAGAAGAAATCTGAGGAAAGAGGTGTCTCCATACTTTGGAATCTGAGGTGGATCCTGGGACATGAAGCACAGAATGATTTGGGCTGGGAGGAACCTTGAAGATTTCCTTGTTCCAACCCCTCTGCCATGAGCACTCAGCTAGTCTTGCTCCAGATGTCCAGGTTTGGAGAAGTTTGTGGAAGTGTTGAATTTAAATAGAGGTTTACCAGTCCAGCAGGTGAGAGGTGCAGAAAATCCACTCAGGATCGTGACTCTATAATGGAGTGAAGAAGAGGCCTCTAACTCAAGGCAAAGAGTGGTGAGTTCCAATGTGGTGGAAAGCCAAGGGAAACAGGAGAAGATGT